TTTTTTTTTTTTTTTTTTTTTTTTTTTTTTTTTTTTTTGGCAAATGTTCGATACACCGCAATGGTGAAAATGGAATTATTAAACGAACTTTTACGCCAGTAAAAAAAACCGGAACAGTTCGGTTTACTCGTCTGTTGATTTTTTTCTTCAGAACTTAAATGTTATTTTATAGAGAGAAGCTTACGAGAGGAAATAAAAGAAATAACGTATAATAAATATATTACATCTGTTGTTTCCATTTTCATCGTTGTCGTTCTCCTGTTACCAATCAAACGAGATGAAATGAAACAAATAATTCTTTCAACATGCAGTACACATGACGTGGATAATTTTTTGAGTTCTACGTTCTCCTTTGCAAAACTGAATCTTCTGTTATTTGCCTGTTTACAGCTTGGGCATCGTTTTCCGTGCCAAAATTTGTTAAAAAAATAAAGCAAACCGTTATAAATGATTTGTTAACGATCGCACGACTTTACTATAAAACACAAACCGATCTACTACGTTTGCTTGATTCCTTGATACTCTTTCTTTCACTGTTTGTTCACAGCTTCAATGAAACGACTGATTAATTTACGTATAATCGATGTTGCATGCACGTGTTCAACAGAATTCGAAAATCACGTATCATCGTGAGGAAGTCAGCTTCGTGCCATGACGCGTCGCGCAAACTCATAGAAATCTCAAGGAAACAATGATGCCTGACGAGACAAGATGTCTGACCAGGGAGTCTCGTTCTCATGGCCATTTCCACTGAAAACTAAATCTAAACTCTTGATCTTCACTCCTGTGGTCCTTCTCGAGATATCTGACCAAAAAGTTCCATTCTCTAGAGTCTCGAAACTCGTTTGCTAGCTCTCTCGAATCGTAGAAAAAGCCATAAACTTGAAACACAGTTTGTCGATGTCCGACACAAATTTTCTCATCGCACGGCGTCAGGAGCGCGGCAATTCCGGCAGTTGAAGCCTTACTTTCACTTTGGCGAGATTACAAAAAAAGCAATTCCACGCGTCATCGCATCTGGCTGACGAAACCTCGCGCGATGGGAGCACGACAGAGAGGATGCAGCGGAGGTTTGCTGGAACTTTCCAGAAGTCCGTGTGCTCGGAGATGGCGAGCGAGCTGCGTTACGCGCTGGACTGCGGCAACGGCGGGGCGAAAAAACCCGCGAGGAGGACGCTGTCGTGCGGTCGCGAGACGGAACGATCGAACCTGTCGATCGTGTCGGAAGAGGAGGGCAGGTACCCAACGTACAACAAGTACAGACACTTTGTGGGGAAGGCGCCTTTGACCTGAAGCCACTGGGGCAGGCTGGATCATCGTCGAGGAGCTAATCCGACTCGCGACTCGATGAACTATATCTAGCTCAAGCGACGAGAGAAGCAACGAGACGTGAACTGAAAAAAAAAAAAAAAAAAGAAAAGAAAAGACTAGCGCGAGCTGAAAACCCCATCCACCTTCTCTTTATCTGCCTCTCCCTCTTTCTTACCCTTTCTTTTTCTGTACGTGCGTGCACTAGTGAGATTTCTTTCTTTCATTGTTTATTTCTCTTTTCCTCCCTTTGCTTTCATTTCCTCGCTCTCCGTCTTCGCAAACGACGCGAACGAACGTGGCAGTTCGTCGTCGACTGGCCACTTTATAGAGTGTACAGTCGTTCAGTCGTTAATTGGAGCTCGCTGGGAATTTATCGTGCCGTGCGGGAGACAACGGCGCGCGCTGTTTCAGCGGAAAGATTAACGAGCAGCCTCGGGGATCCTTTTGTCTTTCGTTGCGGTGAAACCGACCCGGGCGAACCGTCCCCGCGAATGTCAAAATCTCGATCGCCGCCAAATCGTTTACCAAACCGCGGTCGTATTTGTACGCGACGAGGATCAAGGCTTTGATTTTTTACTCGAGACTTGACGCTCGAAAGCAAGTATTTTAATCGTGTGAAATACATGAGCTGAGGAAAGGAACGATCCGACAGACTCGAAGATATCGAAAAGCAATATACCCATATCGTCGTTATCTCCCGCACGATATGTCGGAAGACAAGCCTTGTCGGGAAATGTATGCGCGTGAGGAACGATCGAAGAAAGAGAGAAAGAACGAAAACTGTGGAACTTGTGATTGACGCGCGTAAGAAACGTCATTTGAAGGAAGGAAGAAAGAACATCGTTCATTTTTTTTTTTTTTTTTAAGAAAGTACTGATCGTTTGAGATTAAAAAAAAAAAAAAAGAAACATCAAAAGATAATTAACATTGTACAAATTCTGTCTCTGTCTGTTCGATGGCGTTTGGATACATCCGTTTAGTGTAAATAATCACTCTCATCGTTAAGATTACGAAACTACTAAACCGTCGCGTCTATTCTATGGCACTGTATCATAGAACGTTCATGGGGAGAGAAAAAAAAAAAACAAAAAAAAAACAAAAAAAAAAAAAAGAAACCTTGTTCGTACGACTCGTAAAAGTTTAAGCATCACTCCGACGCTGTAAGATAACTCGTGTCGAACATCGTAGACGAGATGTTTCATCGACGAGTGTAGATAGAATAAGTAATTCTACATTTTTCATTTTATATCCTTGGTTCGCTAGGAGTGTGACGCGATTGAGAAAGTTCTTTTCCATTTGTTTCGCAATTACTTGGAAATGTTATTGGCTACTTTTGCTTGAAAAAGATAAAGATATACTCAGATATGTATGTCGAAAAGCATCGTGTCAAAAATCGAAGCAAGCGGCCAGAATATAAAATTCGATATTTCAATTGTTTTCGAGATTGGCCTCCAGCAAATCGATACGTTCTGGCTAACGAATTTCTCGATCTCGTTATCGCGTATCACGGGATTTCGCTGATCTATCTACGTCCTTTGATGCCAAGAGCAGTTTCGTAATATGTTAATTGAACGTTACCACTGCAAACAAGAATGTACATCAAAGCTTTCAATAATTTTTCCTTCTACGTTTAATTCTCTCTTCAGATGGTTGAAGAATCAAGCGCAGCGTTAAGTATTAAATACGAGTGAAGCTGAACTGAACGAAATCTTTAAATTTAAATTTAAAAAAAAACGAATCCCACGTACTTGGCGCCGATCCAAATTCAAAACTCGCGATCCGAGAGACTAAAGTTCGACGATTCGGAGAATATCAAAGGTATCGCGGTATATTTTCACGTCCGCTTGGATTCAGACTTTCAGGGTTCAGGCGATGTCTTGAGATTATCTTTGAGAGAAAAAAACCAGCTCGACCGAAAATTCAATTAAATCACCGAGACAGAGAATTTCACTGGCCGCGACGCGACGGTTGCGATGCCCCTTTCTTGCGACGTCCAACGGATTCGAGGGATTAAGCTGGTTAACGGAGTTAATGGAAAGCCTGTTTGCAGCTGGTACATTTGCAACCTGGCGTTCATGAACGCCATCGACTGAGCAGTATTAATTTCCGCCTTCCGTCTCTCCCAAGGCGTAAACACGCGAGAATATCGTACGTGTACGGGTGCTTCTCTCTCTCTCTCTCTCTCTCTCTCTGGAGTGATCAATTTCCGGATGCAGATAGATCAGTAGAATCAAATTAGCGAACGAAATTTCAATCCGTTGATAATATTTCCGCGCGATAATATTTCTTTCTTTGTTTGCTTTCTCTTCTGTCGTTTAAGTTTTTTCCCCTTTCTTTTTTAAATACGTACGAAAGACGCGAATGAAACTCGCACGAACGACATATTCACACATACGAATGAATGGCCGTACATTATACACGTACTTGTAAATATCGTCTGTATCGCGTACAACTGCGTTCTACGTCGTAACGAATTTGTTAAGAGCCTATTGATTATACTTCTTACATAAAGTGTACCACGAGCATCATATTAAACG